GTACAATAAAACTATAGTTTTAAAATTTTCTGTATATAAGTCCATCTTAAGTGCAGTAAAAGCCCAACTATCTGGCATTCAACTAACTTGAAAGCTTCATGTAACCAAAATATTTTAGAAAATTTGATAAATGAGAGATTTGTAATGTCATTATAGATCACGCAATACTATTAACACATATATGTTGTTGCCAAATGGTGTCATTTAGTACCAATAATAGATAAGCATGATGTTGCAATGCAATCATAACAAAATCTTTTGGGTTTAATATAAATTTTATTAATTCTTGATAAACCAATTTAATTCAGAAGACAAACAACAAAAATCAGCGTTATATTTACAAAATTTCCACAGGACTAGTTTCGATGGTTTTACTGAACCACCATCCTCAGCTGCAAAACCACAAATGAACCGAAAATTCATTTGCGGTTTTGCAGCTGAGGATGGTGGTTCGGTAAAACCATCGAAACTAGTCCTGTGGAAATTTTGTAAATATAACGCTGATTTTTGTTGTTTGTCTTCTGAATTAGTATTTATTCGGCGTGTTAGTGTGTCTTAATTAAACCAATTTAATTTTTGTAAAGAAGGATATAAAATAAATATATATATGATATTTTCTCCTGACATTTAGAAAATTATTTACATTTGGGACTGCACAAAAATCGAATAATATTGAAATTGCACGATCCGGGCATCAAGAAAAGCCATTAAAGTCAAAAGTCATTAATTCGGACACCCATAATCCGGACCTCAAAGCTAAAAACTTTCTGCGCATGCGCCGCGTTGACACATGCGCATAGGCGTTTACGCGTGCGCGTAAGACCTTTACGACTGCACATATGCATGTGCGCAAGCGCAGAATACGTTTTCGCATGCGCATTTAATGTATAACGGACGGTATAAGCTAAAATTATCTAATTATCTACAGTCAAAAGTCGTTAATCCGGACCTCAAAGCTAAAAACTTTCTGCGCATGCACCGCGTTAACACATGCACATAGGCATTTACGTGTGCGCATAAGACCTTTATGACTGCGCATGTGCGTGTGCGCAAGTGCAGAATACGTTTTCAGGTGCACGTTTAATCTATAACGGACGGTATAAGCTGAAATTATCTAATTATCTACAGTCAAAAGTCGTTAATTCGGACACCCATAATCCGGAATGATCTATAATTCGAACCTCAAAGCTAAAAACTTTCTGCGCATGCGCAGCGTTAACACATGCGCATAGGCGTTTACGCGTGCGCATAAGACCTTTACGACTGCGCATATGCATGTGCGCAAGTGCAGAATACGTTTTCGCGTGCGCGTTTATTGTATAACGGACGGTATAAGCTAAAATTATCTAATTATCTATTTCAGTTAATGTTGATGATTGCGTTGTTCCTTAATCTTCGACCTGGATCCGGCTTATTACTTTTTTTAGACTGTAAGAGCAATTTTATAAAAGTAAACTTGAACTTTCGATTATATCAAATAGAATTTCCGATGCTGGAGTGCCCAAAGGATACAAAACGAAAGTATGTTTCGATGTCCATCAAACAAAAAATGGAGTTGCTGCAAAAAATGGATAAAGACATGAAGAAGGTGACAGAGAGGTTAGTGAAAACGAAAAAATTTCAATTGACAAGTTAGTCGATATTCTCGGCACAGCAATTACAGGACTTGAACAGCGGAACTTTGTAACCGAACAAGAAATTATGTCTGTTTATAGAATTAAAGAAAAAGTATTATCACATAAAACGAAGCAACTTAAACAACTTACCTTGAAAGAAATGTTAATAAAGTAAACAAATAAATATTAAGCTTTTTTTTTTTTTGTAAATTTTGATACCCTTTAGATCATAATTGTTCTTTATTTCATAAATTACGGTTTCATATTTTTAATATTAGAATTTCTGCATGCCATCTTACGAGATTTAAACTGATGATCTATAATTCGGAAAAATCGATAATCCGGAATCGCCGAAGTCCCGACGAGTCCGGATTAACGACTTTTGACTGTATTTCAGTTAATGTTGATGGTTGCGTTGTTCCTTAATCTTCGAACTGGATCCAGCTTATTATTTTTTTGCAGACTGTAAGAGCAATTTTATAAAAGTAAACTTGAACTTTCGATTATGTCAAATAGAATTTCCGATGCTGGAGCTCCCAAAGGATCTACAAAACGAAAGTATGTTTCGATGTCCATCAAGCAAAAAGTGGAATTGCTGCAAAAAATGGATAAAGACATGAAGAAGGTGACAGAGAGGTTAGTGAAAACGAAAAAATTTTGATTGACATGTTAGTCGGTATTCTCGGCACAGCAATTACGGGACTTGAAAAGCGGAACTTTGTAACTGAACAAGAAATTATGTCTTTTTATAGAATTAAAGAGAAAGTATTATCACATAAAACGAAGCAACTTAAACAACTTACATTGAAAGAAATGTTTAATAAAGTAAACAAATAAATATTAAGCTTCTTTTTTTGTAAATTTTGATACCCTTTAGATCATAATTGTTCTTTATTTCATAAATTACGGTTTTATATTTTTAATTTTAGAATTTGTGCATGCCATCTTACGAGATTTAAACTGATGATCTATAATCCGGAAAAATCGATAATCTGGAATCGCCGAAGTCCCGACGAGTCCGGATTAACGACTTTTGACTGTGTATGCAACTTTGTAAATGGATAAAGAGTGGTGATGTAACATGTAAAATTATGATAAGCAATTACAGTTTTTTATATGCTATATTTGTAATTTGTATCTATTATGTAAATAAAGAATTAATCATCCATTTTAACTTATGCCAGAATGACTGGCGACTTCTCTGCAGAATTTCATAATCGAATCAAATGTTTTACTTTCATACTTAAGGCCTATGAAAGACATCAGCTTTTCTGATTGAAATGTGTTTCTTTTTTTTTTCCCCAAAATTTTATATAATTTTAAATATAGGCTTCTGATATTCAAGTTGGTAACAAATAAGATGATTGTTTTTATAATTTTAAAATGGAAATTTTTTCCACTGATTTGTTTTTTTAAATTTGAATATTCATTATTTATGAGCTCAACTATTCGAAATTCAACACTTCCGGAATGTTTCAGACAGTTGAGATTTTAAATAATATTTATAATATTTAAATAATATTTATAATAAAATACTATAATATTTATCCTTACACTCCCAATGAAATAATTTCCCATTTTTTATTTGAAACAATATTTCAAGTCATTTTCCATCCATTCACATTAATTGCCAGCAATAAACAGAAGTGGGAAAAGAGTATTCAGGAACTAGAATCTGATCAAAGACAGTTATTACAGTTATGAAAGAAGCAAACAAAATGGGGAAATTTTGCCTTCAGATGCCTATTTCAAAACATAGAGTACAGTACAAATGGATATATCATAGTCATGCATTTAAATTTATGTGGCGGAGAAAAATACATAATTAAATGCTAATAAAAATATTTGTGCAAAAATGTATAAAATACATTTGTATTTTTTATGTATGTAAAATTTCCTATGTAAAAATGTTCATATTTTAGTGTTTGACATAAATTTGCATTAGTAACAATTAAAACATAACTAAGAGTAATAATTTATATAATTGATATGCGAATTAACAGTAACTTTGCAGTTATCTTTGTCTTGTCAATCAAAGCATAAAAACAGATGTTAATCTAAGTCTTTTGTATGGTAGTACCAACAATTATATATATATATATATATATTGTAATCAGGCAGTTTATCTGATAGAGATATCCCAATACAAGTGCTTGTTCAGTACTGCTTTTTGCATCTGTTATATATTAATAAAAATAATGAAATGCACATTTAACAATGAGTCATTTGTATTTGTATACTTCACATAATTTTCCATATAACACTAAATAAATAACTGTCATGAATATTTATACCTCATTCAGATACATATATGTACTGTACTTATTTCAGTCAGTTCACAGTTTTATACCAGTGGTCCACTATATACATTTATATGAATAATTCTGCATGTATGTATTTGTAAACTTACTTTAATGCACAGTTCTGAGTATTAAATACAAAATTATTTCTTCAGAAAATCTTCATTCAAAAATATATTACTCAGAGTAAATTAAAAAAGAAATTATCTCACAACTTATTATATTATGCTCCATTAAAATTACTTATGATTTAACCAGGACCATTCCTAGCAGGGTGCAGTGCATAAATGTAAGCGGGCGATGAAAATCAGGGGCAGCCGAACTCTTACGATACCACGATTAAATATTTTAAATTCATGTAAGTACATTTTATACAACTTGTCATATGTAAGTACTTAGTATGAAATAAAAATTTTACTAATCATTGAACATTTTCTCTTTTAATTTAAGGACAGCTAATGGCCTAGGTACGGCCCTGGATTTCACTTTTATATATCAAGATTTTCTCTCATGGAAACAAATAAACAGCATATTGGGAATTTATATCAAATAAAAAGATACGCATCTCACATTATCAGGTTTTTCTGCTGTACGAAAAGTCGGTACTTTACCGATATGCACCTACAATGCTTTTTTGAGCTTGTGAAAAAAAGCAACACACATGCAAAGACCTAATGATCTACATCTCAGCTATGCTGTGTATGTCTATAAATTATTCTCACAACTAAAAAGCATTTACAATTTAAAAACCCACCAAAACATGTGGCAAGTGCATAACAGAAAATTAAAGGAAAGTTACTCCTAGACAAGTGAAGGTTCTCATTAACCTAAATTTTTTTCAAAAGACATGTCTCCTCTTCTGCATTGATAAACATATATATATATACCAAATGCTTCTTTCATGAAATTGTTTTTAAAATATGTAACATGTATAGTTTCTGTCTATGAATGCACTTTTTTCAATAAAATCTTTGTCTGAATGAGTTGTTGTATACATGATACAGATAATGTTTCTCATCTAAACGAATAGCCATTTCCTTCTTTCAAAAACACTTTTAAATAAATGGTGTTATTAACATACCTCACATATAATGCTTCTCTCTTCTGTGATGAACAATATGTCTGTTTAAATGATCCTTTCGTCTAAATGACTTGTTACATACTTCACACACATGAGGCTTTTCTCCTGTGTGATTAAGCTTATGCCTATTTAAATCACCCTTTAATCTAAATGACTTGTTACATACCTCACAAACACAAGGTTTCACACCCATATGAATAAGCGTATGCATCTTTAATTTCTCTTTTTCTGTAAATGATTTATTGCACACCTCACACACATGAGGTTTCTCTCCTGAATGAATAAGCATATGCTTGTTTAACTTATACTTCTGTCTATATGACTTGTTACATACGTCGCAAACATGAGGCTTTTCTCCTGTGTGAATACGCAAATGCTCATTTAAACTACACTTTTGTCTAAATGACTTATTACATAGCTCACATGCATGAGGCTTTTTTCCTGTATGATTAAGCATATGCCTACTTAAATCACCCTTCAGTCTAAATGACTTGTTACATACCTCACATACATGAGGTTTCTCTCCTGTGTGAATAAGTATATGCTTGTTTAATTTATCTTTCTTTGTAAACAACTTGTTACATACCTCACATACATTAAGTTTCTCTCCTATGTGAATAAGTCTGTGCTTGTTTAAATGGCAATTTTGTGTAAAGGACTTACTACATATCTCACACTTATAAAGTTTCTCTCGTGTGTGAATAAGCATATGCTTATTTAAAGAGTCCTTTTGTGGAAATGACTTGTTACATACCTCACATACATGAGGTTTCTCTCCTGTGTGAATAAGTATATGTTTGTTTAAATGACAATTTTTCATAAATGACTTAGTACATACCTCACACTTAAAAAGTTTCTCTCGTGTGTGAATAAGCATATGTTTCTTTAAAGAGTACTTTCGTGGAAATGACTTGCTGCATACTTCACACTTATGAGGTTTCTCTTCAATGTGTATATCCATGTGCCAGCTATATAATTCACAATGTTGTTCCTGTTTTGAATGAATGTAACATGTGTTGGCTTACAGTGATTTTATATAAAATAGATATTAGATGCACCACATTAGCTTTTAGCCGCATTATAAATTCATCTCTATCTATAAATTATCTCTATAAAGACCTATTTATGTTACATTAGCTCACATTATACATTTATCTCTATAAAACTATGAATACATTTTGCGGAGACATATGTAGTGCATGATATACATGATATCTGGGAACAATTCAAGAGAAATAAATGTTATATTTAGGCCAAATACGTTTTATTGTCATAGCATCTATAAATCTTTAATTATGAATGTCACAAACACTGCATTAGAATTGAATGAAATTTTGATTTTGCTAGAACTTTCAGGCAATGCAAACAGTTAAACGAAATTACTTATTTAAAACTTTTATACATATTCGACCGTATAGAATATTCCATTATTTTGTTGAAGAGGGGAAAAAAATAAAATAATTTCTCGGAAATGACTGATCATTCACTGCTCATGATTCACATTCAACATATTAATACAATTTCAAAACTATACTAATGTTGCCAGACACTCGTTTTTTCGTAACAAATCTTGACTAAGGAAAGAGGAAAGAAATGAATTCTGGTGCGACTAAATTTCAACTTGGCAGGAAATTTTGATTGGTTGGCTCTGGTGACGTCATTCTGACGTAATTCCCAGCCAACCATGGATTTTATAAGAAATAGACAACGGACCTTGCTCCTACCTAATCTTTCATCTATATTTCGTGCGTTGCTTTTATTGAAAGTTAAATAAGCAGTTTCTATTTGGAAACAAGGTTATCATTTTCGTTTCAAAAAAACATTTATGTTCTCGCCTTGTTTTGGATTTATGATTTTATCTAATGGTGTTTTCTGAGTATATAAATATGTTGGAAACCGCAATAGATGATGTTACTTAGTTTTAATGTATAACTTTGCATGATATTATATGTATCTTGATCTTATTTGTCTTCAGTTACTGTGTCTCAAGGTAGAGGCTAATATTGGTTTCCATGTTAAAAAATAAAAGTTCAAATTTAAAAATTTTTAAATTTTAGTTTTCCTGTTATAGCAAAAGTTAGCCTCTAAACTTGACTTATACTGTTATGTGACTGGACCCCCAATATTTATTATTTTATTATTAATTTTCCCCCATCTTTACATCTATTCAGCTTTACAAAACACACTCATTACACACACCTGAAAGACTCTATTTAATGTAAATGATAACAACTTTGACTACACTCATGAACACAATCGTGGGTTTTTTTTTTTTTTAACAAAATTCTCTTACTTCCTTTCCTTTTCTTTCTATAGGCCTTTTTTTTTTTTTTTTTAATTATAAATAAAAAAATTTTTTTCCTCTCCATTACTTTTGGGCCATTTATTTTTTACTTTATTTTGTCCCATCTTTTCTTCCTGGCATTTCGAACTCGTATAAAATGTACGAAGTTCCTTTTTACTCTCCTCTGAAATACAAAATTGGCCTCCTTTCTATATACCTTTCCTTCGCACCTATGCTTGATTTTTCGCCCATCGGTGCAGAAAGACTTAGCGGGTGCAACAAAAGACATCTGTCTACTTTGTCTGTCTGTCTGTTTGTTAACAAAACATTTGCCTAATCTGGCATCATTGTAATAGGTTTGCTGTCGGTATGACATCAGAAAACGATTTCGCATAGGAAGAACGTGGTTGATAATTAATTTCCTCAGACTCTGAAACATTGGTTGACAAACGTAATCAAAACTTCACTTAATCGTAATCTAGGCTATGTGATATAATTCCATAAATCCATAACTAAACATGTACCTATATCAGGGAAAGAAATCGTATTTGTATGAATTAAAACAAATAAATTTTTAATATAGTGCTGTCATAAGCTAAGGCGCTTAGGCACAGTATGTATTATTGTTTTGGGCTAGGTGTTGAACTGGAGCTTGAAGCATCCAAGAACTACTTGGGGTTGCGGTAGCAGAAAACAACCATTTAATCGGACGATATGTTGAATATCAACAGAATCTGCTGACAACTGAAGATTTATTAATTGTTACCCATTCAGGTAACAAAAATTAGTGAACTAACATAACATAAGCAAAGTAAAATTAAAAGTGACACGTTCTCAGTTATTAAAAGAAATCAGTCAATGTTGAAAAACTTTACTCCAGTGATTTTGGAAAGATTTGAAGATTAGTACTTTTCACTTGATCATCTGACCTTACTTCTTGGAGAACGCTCACTGTAGGATCAGGAATTCATTGATGTAATCCATTGTAACTCTTTTTTTCAAGTATTCATTGTCCTCAAACACTGGCTGAAGTAGTCCACTGCAAAGTCCTTGCTCTCCTCACTGCTACCTGCTACCCTTACAATGGTTTGGGAAAACAACTTTTAAGTTGGTTGCATCCAAATTTTGCATATTGCAGCTATAAATGAATCATACAAATGCCAAAGAGCTAGTTGCTGTATAAGAGACACATTGTAAAACTTAATTACAAATATGATGATAATCTCAGATTAAGCTTCTGTTAATCAACACATTTCATGTCCATGGCAAAACAAAAATATTGTCATAATGTACTTAGCAAGTTATATGATATCAAAACACTCAGCTTTAACAGGTCCTTTGGGAAAAGCAGTATTTAAAAAGAGTACACGAAATCTTATGTGCGAGAACCATTAAAAATAATTTAAATAAAGTCACACTCTAAACATGGAAATGCATATTTACACACAACAAACACCACATGTGTGTAAGATATGTAATAAATCATTTACAAAAAAATTTACTTTAAGCAATCACATACTTATTCACACAGGAGAGAAACCTCATGTATGTGATGTATGTAAAAAGTCATTTAGAATAAAGTCTGATTTAAACAAGCATATGCTTCTTCACACGGAGAAATCTTGTGTGTGTGAGGTGTGTAACAAAGCATTTGGAGCAAGAAGTGACTTAAGTAAGCATATGCTTATTCATACAGGAGAGAAACCTTACGTGTGTGAAGTATGTAATAAATCATTTAGCCAAATAAGTAATTTAAACCACCATGTGCTTAGTCACACGTCACAGAAAAAGCTTCATGTGTGTGAGGTATGCAACAAGTTCTTTACACAAAAGTGCAATTTAATCAATCATATGCTTCTTCACACAGGACAGAAACCTTATGTATGTGAAGTATGTAACAAGTTATTTAGAGTAAAGGGAAATTTAAACACACATATGCTTATTCACACCGGAGAGAAACCTTATACGTGTGAGGTGTGTAATAAGAAATTTGGACCCAAGAGTGATTTAAGCAGGCATATGCTTTATCACACAGGAAAGAAGCCTCATCTGTGTGAAGTATGTAACAAATCATTTAGACTGAAATGCGAGTTAAATGTGCATATGCTTATCCACACAGGAGAGAAGCCTCATGAGTGTGAGGTATGTAATAAGGTATTTGGACAAAAGGGCACTTTAAATAAGCATATGCTTACCCACACAGGAGAGAAACCTCATGAATGTGAGGTGTGTAACAAGTCATTTGTACAAAAAAGCAGTTTAAAGTTACATATGCTTATTCATACAGATAAGAAACCTTATGTATGTCAAGTGTGTAAAAAATCATTTAGACAAAAAGGTAATTTATCCACACATATGCTTATCCATACAGGAGAGAAGCCTTTTATATGCCAAATGTGTAAAAAGTCCTTTAGGCAAAAGGGTACTTTAAATATGCATATGCTTATTCACGCAGGTACACCACCTTAAATATGTCGAGTGTAAAAAGTCATTTACACATTTAGGCAATTGAAACATGCATATGTTTATTCATACAGGAGAGAAATCATATTTGTGGTTAAAAATTTGAAGACAAAATCTCTTATCTGAACAAAGCAAATTAGCCTTAAGTTTTAATCTAATGTTTAATTTAAAATTAATTTAACTTAATGTTTATATTCTGCTGCAGTTTGAATTATATTAAAACTATTATTGGTATTTTTCCATTATACCCCTGCTATGCAGTTTGATCTAAAGTGCAGAATCACTCACTTATATGGTGTGTATCGATGTGTACGTTGACAAGTCAAGGGAGTGCTCAATGCCAAGTTTGTGCAATTCTCTGTTTTTTTTTTTTTTTTTTTTCTTTTAAGTGACAATAGGTTGATGTGTACATAGATACCAAGTTTGTACAATTCTTTGACTTGTTATTTTCAAGTTGATGCAGAATCGCCCACTTATGTGGCACGTATTGATGTGTGCATGGACAAAATCAAGGGAGTGTACAACTCTCCGATTTTTTTTAAGTGAAAATAGGTCGATGTGTACATGGATACCGAGTTTAAGCAATTCTTTGACTTGTTATTTTCAAGTTTGCTATTTTGAGAAATGCGCGAAGCAGTTGGTGATTTTGCACTTTCCCTAGAGTTTGGGTAGCTTTGTCAGTTGGAAACAATGTCTAGAGTTAAGAGTAATGTTTAGATGCACACACACACAGTTGTAGCTCAAATGGCACAATCGTTGGGTTTCAGCTTATATTTGGCTTCCCTTTCATTGACACCAGAAAGCATGGCATTATAGAAAAATACTATATTATTTAATTCATATTGTTTAGATTTCCCAGAACGAATTTAAGTAGTTATATAATAAAATAAACAGGAGCATGGCTGATAGCAGTAATGAGCAAAATGACTTGAAAAATCACTTTTACGATTTGACTGAATTTAGTTTTTTATAATTTAAATTACTCCTTTAAAAAGTATTTACTTTATGTTTAGTTATATACATAACCATGTACATTAATATATCGGTACTTTATTTTCCAAAAACATATCAGTTTAAATACTAGCTGGTATTTTTATACAGCAAGAAAATTATTTATGTAATTTATTAAAATGACATTTTACTTGGTACTTGTCTTCTATAAGGGACTTGCCGCAGTTCACGCTTAAGAAAATGCGAATTGTTGCCGAGTGTTGTAAATATCTATGATATGGAATTTGACTACAATAAACAAGAAACTGGAAATTCATTTATTATATATAAAATGTAAGTTATTTAATATACAGACACAGGAGGAATTTAGGGTGAAGTGCAGTGTTGTTTGGTGCTTTTTACAAGAGTAAGAAGGATTGGATTTTTGTCAGTTTCCTTTGACTTTTTAAGTGAAAATAGATCGATGTGCACATGGACAAAGTCAAGGAACTGCACAATGCCTAGTTTGTGCAATTCTCTGATTTTTTTTAAGTGAAAATAGATCGATTTAAAAATGGATACCGAGTTTGTGCAAATTCTTAAAAACACGCCGAGCAGTGGATGATTCTGCACTTTCCCCAGAATTAAATATAAATCTGTGTTTAGTATAGTATTTAATTCAATTTTTTCAACAATTTATTTAATGACATAATTTAACAGGACTTATTTAATATACAGGTTGCATCAGAAAAATGTATGCATACTTTGAACTGTCATATAAAATTTATTATCATACCTGTAAGGTTAAGTTTATCAGAGAAAATAATGTTATGTTGTCTCAACATCTAGCTGCAGGGTCATTGGTTTAGCTGTGCAACCCAGTTAGTGCCAAAAGAGTAACATTGACATGGCAGATGTATGTTTGAACTTCCAAGAGCAGAAGCAGGTTTTCAAATGGTACTGGAAGTTTGAGAATGTTTTTGCAGTTCAGAGACAATGGAGATGTTGAGTAGGGGATTGATCCACCTTCAAGGTTAACTATTACACATCTACTAGAAAAATTTGAGGTTCATGGAACAATGTGTGATGTGCAGAAAGGCTGATCAGAGAGACATTGCATGGCTACATGTGATGAATCCTCAGTTTTATAGCTGGAAGTGTTTCAATAGTCCACAAAAATTGTCAAGGCAAAGATCACATGAATGTGGTAAGTGTTAGTGATGAGTGATAATATAACAGGCCAGTGGATAGATGCAGGGGACCAATCGAGTTTCCTGCACACTCTCCAGACCTTATGCCCCATGATATTTTCTTATGGGGCACAGTAAGAGATGAGATGTACTGTCGTAAACCACGTCACCTTGACATGTTTTGGGATCAGATTCAAGGGGCGAGCGTAGAAATCCCATTTTTGGAATCAGTCGTGATTCGTACTCAGAAATGTATAGATGAAGGACATTGTTTTGAACATATGTTTTAAACACTATTTGAAGCATTCTGTTTGATTAGAAAGTACACTTATTTTTCAAATTGCACTATAACCTTACCTTTCTAGAAATTTAACTGTGTAGGTTGGAAAATAAATTTTCTATGACAGTTCAAAGTGTGTATACATTTTTCTAACACACACTGTACATTATTTATCATATTTAATACAGTTATGTAAGCAATTTATTTAAAATAACATTTATAAAGATATTGAAAAATTCTATTTATTAAAATGTATCATAAAATTCTATATATTTTTTTCTTTAATATAGTTGTGTAGTAATTTACTAAAAGAACATATATAAACAAACAAGAAAAATCATTTTTTACACTTTTCTAGTGGCTGCAGTCCAGCAATTGCTTCTAATTATGCTTCTACAGTATCATCTACAGTATCTTTTTCTGTTGGAAGATTAAAAATTATCAGTATACTGAGTATTTTGAAATAAAACCCCACTGCATTGACACAATTCTATTACAAAAATGCAGTTAGATCGTTAATTATTTGTTTCTTTCATATGTGCAGATTGGTAACTTTGCTTACACATATGCAAATTGTAACCACGTTTCTTGCCACTGTAGAAATGTGCGAAATTCATTTTCTCAACAAGGCCTTTATAGAAGACTTGTACCTTTTCTAAGCATTTATGAAATGCGTGTGATTAACCTATGTGAAAATAATTATAAAGGTTAATTTGCATTAGTGAAGTTATGAGCTCAAGAAATGTGCACGAAATTTACAGCTACATTGTAATATGGACAACAGCTGCTGAGTGAGAATTTGACACAGCTGAATAAACAACTGAAAAGAAAAGCTTAGATTCTCAGTGTGTGAGATGAAAGTTTTGGCCAGTCAAAAGACTTGAAAGTTACTGAGAGATGTTTTGCTGGTATTGCATGATAAGTAAAATAACAAAAGATTCAATGTAAGATTGTAAATGTGCAAAAGTGTAGCACTATCTTATTCATAGAATGAAAAAGAAAAGTTTTTCAAATTGAAAACATTGTCATTGTCATATTAGAGACCTGCTGTGAAAACCAGAAGGTACTATATATATTTATTTCTCTTCATTGTAGTTTAGGGTTTCACTGTCAGTGATGATGTTAGATTTTCAATGCCAGTGATGTCATTCATAATAGTATGGAATAGGTTTAATTATTTGAAGAAATGAGAATTTACCTTGTGTAGCTTATTTGAGAAAAACAAAAACAGGATATGCTGTATGAATTTATATGTCTTATGAAATATGACTTTGAATGAAAGTATCTAAATAAATCTTAAAAAAAAAATCTTCCTTTAAGTAAATGGAACTCAGCAGCATTTAAAATTTTCATTAATCTTTCTTTACGTTCTGATTCAGTTTTTATTTATTTATTTATTTTTGTAATTCTAGGTATTTTTAATCTATTTAGAAATCCATATCCATAATTTCCATAAAACTTTCTCTACCGTTTCGCTAAATATATGTACAGTCAAAAGTCGTTAATCCGGACTCGTCGGGACTTCGGCGATTCCAGATTATCGATTTTTCCGGATTATAGATCATCAGTTTAAATCTCGTAAGATGGCATGCACAAATTCTAAAATTAAAAATATAAAACCGTAATTTATGAAATAAAGAACAATTATGATCTAAAGGATATCAAAATTTACAAAAAAAAGAAGCTTAATATTTATTTGTTTACTTTATTAAACATTTCTTTCAATGTAAGTTGTTTCGTTTTATGTGATAATACTTTCTCTTTAATTCTATAAACAGACATGATTTCTTGTTCAGTTACAAGTCCCGTAATTGCTGTGCCGAGAATACCGACTAACTTGTCAATCGAAATTTTTTCGTTTTCACTAACCTCTCTGTCACCTTCTTCATGTCTTTATCCATTTTTTGCAGCAATTCCACTTTCTGTTTGACGGACATCGAGACATACTTTCGTTTTGTAGATCCTTTGGGAGCTCCAGAATCGGAAATCGACATAATCGAAAGTTAAAGTTTACTTTTATAAAATTGCTCTTACAGTCTGCAAAAAATAATAAGCCGCATCCAATTCGAAGATTAAGGAACAACGCAATCATCAACATTAACTGAAATAGATGATTATATAATTTTAGCTTGCACCGTCCGTTATACATTAAACGCGCACGCGAAAACGTATTCTGCACTTGCGCCTTACGCGCACGCGTAAACGCCTATGCGCATGTGTCAACGCGGCGCATGCGCAGAAAGGTTTTAGCTTTGAGGTCCGGATTATGGGTGTCCGAATTAACGACTTTTGACTGTACTAAGTTTTTCTTAAACTGCACTGTTTCACAATCTATAGTGAACTTTAATAAATTATAATTATTTAGTGTTTCACATGGGGTTATTGCAAAATTCTAATGCATTGAAATCAGCAATTCCAGGTTCTAAAAAAAATTTAAAATATGTTTATACTAATTTACGTAACTTCCTGAACTGTTGGATTCATATTATTATTATTATTATTATTATTAAGATTTCGGTTTATGAATAAAAAGGGAAACTAAATTGAATAAAATCAAATAAAATTTCACAAGTTCAAAGAAATTTTTATTCTTGTACTTATTGTATAGATCCTTTAGAAAGTCAGAAAAATTAGGAAACTTGTTTCCACAGTATTATAACTTGTAAGGAATAGTATGATGGTGTAAGCCATGATGCTTTTGTGACAATATTAACAAGTGTTGGAGAAATCTCTGAACTATCACAATGAGAAAAGTCAATGCAATGCTTTTAAGCATGAAGCATCTGCATTCTTGGGAAAAAAAAATCATGTAAATTAAATTCTTAAATTCCACTTTAGCGCGTTAATAAATGTATTATTAAACTGGTTTGTATAAATGTATATATCCTATTATAGCGACACAGAGTGCCACACACCATGTGATATGTATTCACAGCCAATAATCATAAACTGGTGTTCTTAATTTCCTTATTAATTCATAATACAAAGGATGTTTCATAGTACAAGATTGCATTTATGTATTTTATTACACATTATGAACTGTTGCAGTTATGTGTTAAGCTGTTTAATGACATAATCTATGCAGTACTTAATATGCTAATGCAGCTATACCTAATGCTGCAGTGCTCAAACACATTACTAAAATAACGATTGGTACATTGATAACAAAATATAATAGAGTATCAATGCACAAAATGAATAATATATTTCTGCATAGTATAAAAATACAGTACAAAGTCCGTAATTCGGACACGTGCCGATTTCGGATTAGAGGTTTTTCCGGATTATAGATCATAAATTGAAATCTGGTAAGATGGCATGCAGAAATTATACTATTAAAAATATGAAACCGTAATTTATGAAATAAAAAGCAATTATGATCTAAAGGGTATAATTACGGGGCGCAGCCCCCAGCCCACCTAACCAAGACATGCTTGGTCATATGACTCTTCATGGGAGCTAGCCCATCCAACAACAAACGACGAGCCAGCGATCCAGCCGTGCTCAAAACACTCAACAAGAAAACAAAAAACAAAAGAGATAAACTACAAGCCCCGGAAAACCAAATCATCAGGAACCGAGTAACAAAAAAGGTTAGTAAAAGGAAAACGAAACGAAATAATAAATACGACCAGGGAAATTCACTTTATCCCTGGACCTAATACATTCATACAAACGAACAGAAACAAATAATAATAACTGTTAGAAAACAAAACAAACAAACAAAAAAAAATAAATAAATAAATAAAACGACATAAAAACATATAAACACATATACATACATCATTCACACAAAAATGCCTATGGCTTCTTTAGACGAATTTAGAATCCTCATAATCTCTCTAGAATATTCTTCAAGATTCTTATAGTTTTTCTTAAAATCACTGTGAAATTGTTTTCGATATTTAACCCTTGCACTCCCGGTAATAACTACAGTCCTTCAAAAAAGTGTTTCGAGTCTCCAGAACGTTACATAATTTGCATTTTATCATTATCCTGTAAACCAAATCTCTTTAAATATGCTGGGAACGCGACCGTGTCCTGTTAGGATCTG